CTTTCACATTTGTACTGAAATACATTTTCCTAGTTCTGATGTCCGATCGAACCCAGGGCCTCGCACATGCTAGGCGAGTGCTCTACCGCTGAGCCACAACCCCACCCAGCCCTAGTTCTGTTATTCTAAGAGTGTGTTCTCATCTTCTTGACTATTCAGTTGGTCTTTGAAAAATATCAGGTTTTCATTTTCCTGCAGTTAAATTTCAATTCGCTTATTCATTTCTTCCCCCGTCACCTCTATTAGCCCTGGGTTTTCTTTTACGGTGGCTTGGATTTTCTCTTCCTGCTACTCTGGAGGGGAAAGCTCTGCTCCCTGTGCTCAGCTTCCCTTGCTGCCCCAGGCCTCCCGCAGGCTCTCGGGCTTTGGGGGGGTGTTCACGAGAGTCGTTCTCACGGCTGGCACCTGCAGGCCCTGGTCCTCTGGCCTCTCCTCCAGCCTCAGACTTGTTTGGGAGACTGCTCTTTCCTTTGAGCCCGTGCCAGTTTGCAGCTGAGCTCTGGGTGTTTTCTTTCTGGTTTTATTGCACTGTGGGTGGAAATGTTGCCCAGAGACACTGTCCTGCTGGAAGGAATGGCTTTTCTCAGGGTCTGATGCCTAGAAGGCTTTCTGCTTCATGGGAGAAGGAGAAGGTCCACCTGTCTTCTACCAGGGAGTGGGGGCCGGCTTCCTGCTTCCTCGGTGCCCTCCGCCAGCCCCCAGGAGCGCCCAGGTAGCTCCCTCTCAGCCCCAGGCCATTAGGGGCCCAGGATAGGGCAAGTTAGGGACACAGTGATGGCTGGCTGTTTTCTGCCTTCTATTCACACTCCCTGCCTGGGGCAAYTGGCCTCCCCCTCTGGCCTCAACTTCTTTGGGTTGCAAGACAACGGCCCTTGAACACACAGACGTTCTCACCACTCCTACAGAGGTGGGCACATCGACAGGCCATGGGGGGCTGCAGGCAAGCAAGCTGAGGCTGAATCCTAAGGGCCAGGCTTGATTGCACTGGGCTTGGCCAGGCCCACCCTAGTTTTGGGTGGAGTCCAGACAGGAGGATCTGAACCGAAGACCCAGGAGACCAGAGCAGAGGTAGGAGCAGCACCCAAGGCAAGATGGCGACCTGGCTGGAGAAGGGGTGGACMCCCGGACTGCAGGAGGGGGCCAGAGAGCACCGCAGTGGGTGGGTCCTTCTCTAAGGAGGGGAACTGGGAGGGGKAGTGGGCTTAAAGAAAAGAAGATCAAGTTCAGCTGGAGGAGCCTCAGAGGACTGCGGCCCAGTCGGGGTATCACCTGGACACGCCCAGCCTCCGTAGGGTGGTCAGCACACCATGGTCATGACCATCAGGTCCACCACCTGCTTCTGTAGTGCCTGCAACTAGGAACTGTTTTTAAATTTTTAGGTAGTTTAAAAATTGAAAATCATGAGGACAAATACGGTGTGATTCCCCTTATGAGCCTTCCAGTCACCAGAACCAGACGAGAGGGCCAGGGGCTGGAGGGCGGGAGAGTTCTGTTGGTGGCTGGTGGCTGTAAGTGGTGTGTCACCCTCCTGTGCACATTAACAGTGGCAGGCAGTAACTTTTATGCCCTGTATAAATAAGAAAAATCAAGAGGACGTTTTGTGACCTGTAACAGGATCTGCAACCCTAACCCTAACCCTAACCCTAACCCTAACCTCAGGTTCATAATGCGTTTCGTTGGGGCACAGACCCCAGGTCATATCTGCGTTTTATTCGGTAGCATCTGCTGCACAGCGGTAAAGCAGGTGTGTGTGACAGATCTCCCGGCCGACGAGGCCTGAACTGTTTGCTGTCCTGTCCTTTGCAGAAAGGGCTGGCCTGCCCCTGCTCCTCAGGAGGGAGGTCAGGGACGGCAACTGGAGAGGGGCAGAACCCAGGAGGGAGCAGGAGAGAGCGAGGTCAGGCCGAGGTCCGGGCTCACAGGCACAAGCGCAGTTCTGGTCTTCTGTCTGAGCTGTAGTTCACATGCCCACAGTCCACCTGCTGAGCGGGCACGATTCAACCTGACAGGGGACACCACAGTCCACCTGGGAGCAGTTCTTCATCTCAGAAGAGAAGCCCCACCCCTGGCAGCCAGTCCATCCCTGCACTGTCCTGCGGCCCCTGCAGCCCCCCACCTGCTGTCTCCATGGACCTGCCCATTCTGGACACTTCCTATCAGTGGAGTCATACGGTCTGTGGCCTCCTGTCTGGCCCTTCAGCYGGCAGCACATTTCAGGCTCACCGGGGACACAGGTGTATGGGGCCTCAATTCCTTCTATGGTTGAATGACAGTTCCTTGTATGCCTGGCACATTGTAGCCACCCACTTGTCTGCTGATGGACACTGGCCTGTTTTGCAAGCTTTGTGTGCATCGTCATGCTTAGTAAGGTCACAGGGGGGTGAGGGGCCGTGTCCCAGAGAYGCCCCAGATGCCATGGAGACCCATATGCCCAGGAGAGAGCACCCTTCCTGACCAAGGGAGCCACCTTGGTGTYGAATGCTGGCAGAAGTCAGAGGATAGACTTCTGTTGGGTGAGTGAGGCCAAGAGACAGAGGGGAGAGGCCCACAGGGAGAGAGCAGGCTCCAGGGACTGGGGAGGGGGGTTGGGTTTCCAGGGCCTTGGAGGACCGGGTTCTGGGGAGGGTGGAAGGGGTGGACTGCTGGCCTGACCGTGGCTCGATTGGCAGATACAGGCACAGGACGCCTGGATGCCTCTGGAAGGGTCGAGCTTCAGGAAGTCTTTTTGAGTTTAAGGTTTTAAGGGACCTTGATCCTAAGATCCCAGAACCTAGCTATAGGACCTAGCTGGATGAAGGCCAGCTGCTGTCCCCCCAGGGTGCTCCAAGGGAATGAAGTCACAGCACAACTAGCAGAGGGASCCGACACCAATCCCCAGGCTCCTGGCAATGTGCATTGATGGAGAAGTCCAGGCCCTCAGGCTGAGTTGGAGACCTGGCAAAGACTGCCCAGGCCCAGAGTGCAGGGCTCTGGGACTGTTCCTGGCACTGGGTCTTGCAGGGGAGGGAGGATGTCAGGGGACAGGGGCCTCTGACCAGGGAGAGGGTGCAGAGGAGAGCCTGGACAGGGAACCTGAATTCAAAGTCTACCCTGGACTGCTCCACTGGGCAGAGGTGAGACTGAACCCCTGACCATACACACCCCTGCCCTCAGCCCCACAGGGCCCAGGCAGGGGCTACTCTGCAGCCAGCCTTCCCAAGAGGGACTGGTGAGCAGGCCAGCTCAGCAGGGTCCAGCAGGGTGAGCGAGCCAGTGGGCACCCCCAAGGCTGGCAGCAAATACCCTTTACCTGTCTGGTGGGGCCCCTAGAGGAGGTCCCTGACTGCCAAGCCCCAAAGCCAGAACTGGAAGGCTGCTCAGGCCACCTGACCAGCACCCCATTCCCAGAGGTCCTGGCCCTGGAGCACCTGGTTCCTTGGGGGGAAGCCGGCCTGGATATGGCCCCAAGGRCAGTCTCTGGACAGCGAGGCAGGACCCAAACTTTTCTATTAASAGTGCATTTTATGCATTTTGGCAGTCTCTATCCCCCCTGAACCCTGCGATTCTTCCCATGTGTCACGCCCGCCCACAGCCTCCCCAMCCCCCAGGGACCCCAATCACAGTGTCCTCAAGGGAGGAATGGAAGAGCCAGGCCAGGGTGCCCTGAGGAAAAACAGCCCCGGGAAATGGAAAGAGGAGCAAGGGTTGTAAGACAGAGCAGGAGCCCATGGGAGGAGCGACCAGGAACCAGGTAGGTCGTGGTGGAGGTTGGGAGACACTGGAAAAGAAGAGTCTGGGCGGAGGGGTGTGAGCGGGCCTGAGCGGGCCTGAGCGCTCCAAGTACTGGAGTGGTTGGGTGCAAACCTCCAGCCCCTCCGGTTCAAGGCGTCGCCCAGAGGCCCAGGCTTGGGGCGCACTGAAACCACAGGGAGAGGGTGTGCATGAGGAGGGACAAGGTGCAGGGGCCCTGGGGAACSGAAACCTTCCACCTATCCCAGCCTCGACCACCTCAGACCGCCCAGCCCAAAAGGACACAGGYGTGAGTGGGAGGAGAGTGGATACCAGGGTCGCGGGGGGAGGGGGCGAACCTGGCCGAGGCCCAGCGGGTGAGCCGCTTTGTTCGCGACGGTCCCYGGGAGCCACGCGCCAGGCGTACGCTTCCTCCTTGAGGCTGGGAGTGGGGCTGGGCCCGCCGCAATTGGCCAAACGGGCGGCCCACGATTGGCTGAGACCCTGGCCCCCGCCTCCTCGCCCCCGTGGGCGTGGTGCGGACTCGGGCGGCTCGGCGCGTGCTGCCCCCGGGGGTCTCCGGTGCTTACCCCGACAGCTGGATTATCTTCCCGGCCACGCCTTGTCCCACAACAGCACGCGCCGCGCGAGCCGAGGACTGGCACCTCTGAATGCTAGCGGGCTGTATGGGGGTGGGGGTAAAGGCAGGTCACGCCAGGGACCTGCTGACAGCACCTGGACGTGGGGAACCTGCGGAAGGCAGCGCGGTTCCTACACCGGGCCTGCTTGCAGCTCTTAGGGAGACGCACTAGGTACCTGCTGGAAGAGGGGAGCATCTTACTTGCGGACTGCCTTCGAGAGACGAGGTGGGAGGTGTGCTCACGGTTTGGGCTTTACGGAACGTGTGTGTGTGAGGGGGAGGGCTAAGCGAGGCGGGAGGGAGAGGCRAAGGGAGGAGGGCGTGAGAAAGGAGGGCGGCGGCGCGGAGGAGGGTTATCTATACATTTAAAAACGAGCCGCCTGCGCCGCGCAAGGGGAGACCCAGGGAACGTCCTCCTGCACGCGCGGGACACGAGCGTCCCACGCTTCCCGGTGCACACAGCCCACCGCCTCTCGATTCCTGCGCCACACCGTCCTCAGGCTCCAGAGGACTTTGGAAGAGTGCCCCAGAGGAATCTCTTGGCAGCGGAGTGCCTGAAGCCCCTGGGAGGCACGGCCGTCCCCCTACCCATACTTAGTTGCGCACTTTCTTGTGGTGCACCGGGACTTAGAACAGTCACCAGCGGGTGGATGCGGGCGCGATGGACAGCGGCGCACTGTCCCGACTTGTGCCCACCTCGCCTGCGGTCCCTGGTGCCTGCGGTGTCCGACGGAGACCCACGTCCCCAGAACTGCTGCGCTGCAGCCGGCGGCGGCGGCCAGGATCGGCAGAGGCCGGGGGCGGCGCGGCGGCAGTGGCGCGGCGCAATGAGCGTGAGCGCAACCGCGTGAAGCTTGTGAACTTGGGCTTCCAGGCGCTGCGGCAGCATGTGCCACACGGCGGCGCCAGCAAGAAGCTAAGTAAAGTAGAGACGCTGCGCTCAGCTGTGGAGTACATCCGCGCGCTGCAGAGCCTGCTGGCTGAGCATGATGCGGTGCGCGCCGCGCTGGCCGGGGGTCTGCTGGCCCCGGCTGCGCGGCCTCCTCCGCCCCGCGGGCCGCCTGAGACTCCCCCCATCGCTGCCTCGCCCTCCTGCGCCTCTACGTCCCCTGGCCGCGAGGGCAGCTCGGAACCTGAGTCCCCTCGTTCAACCTACTCGTCCGATGACAGCGGCTGCGAGGGCGAATTGAGCCCCACGGAGCGCGAGCTCCTGGACTTCTCCAGCTGGTTAGGGGGCTATTGAGTSCCTTCGCGCCCGCCCCCCGGTTTAAGGTAACTCCCAGGCTACCGGGAGGAGGGAGGGTTGGAGGCAGGGGCAGCGGAGTTGGGTGGGCGGGCCTGGCGGGTAGCGCCCGGGTRATCCAACGGAGCCGAGCGCTGGGTCCAGGCTATTGCTTCGATTTCGCTCACTCTTCATTTTCCCCAAACGTTTTCAAGCCTGAGCAAGACCAGCGTTTGTTTGTACGGGATTGCAAAACTTCCTCTCCCGGCTCCGCCGCCTTTGGGGGAGGGGATATGAGGGGAGGGGAGCGGCTGTCGGGCCGGTGAGGTCTCACTGCTCGCGGTTCCCCAGAAGAGCGGGGAGCTGGAGGCGTGGTGATTTTGCATTGCAAATTGCCTCCCCGGCTGGGGTGCTGGAATGAGTCGGCTGGAGTGGAGCCCTGAGTCACCACGACTCGGAGCGTGCGCCCCGCCCCCGCCTGGCCGGTGCCTCCGACCGAATCTAGGCACCCACGGACTCAAAATCAACGGAGCGAATGAAACTGCGGCGGGCGTGTTGGGAGGTGGGGTTGTGGGCCGAGTTCTGCTGCACGTGCCGGGGCCACAGTGACGCGAATTCTGTTCCCCTGCAGCCCCAGTCCAGGACGCCCGACAGCAAGCAGGCCTAGCAGCGAGCTCACCATCATTTGGGAGCGGCATGGTGGGCCAGGGACCCCCGCCGACGCTGCCTTGTTTTGTCCAGACTGACCCAGTGCCAGCGAGGAAACTACCCCTCTACGGACTGGCATCGGCCTCTGAGCTCCCCCAGTAGGGCGTCAACGCTTGGAGAACTTTCCCGCGGATGTTTTATGAGGACAGAGTCTATTTTTCAGGGACTGCTGAAACCGTGAAGACTGATTTTTGTACAAAGGATCGTTGTGGATGGAGCACAATAAAAATCGTCTGTCCTCCCCCCACCCCCACTACCTGGAATTTCCAACCTGGCCAAGGTRTGGTCCTAGCAGCCCCTGAAGGCAGGGTGCCTGGTGGGACGCCCCTCCTCTGAAGCCCAGCCTAGGGCCGGTGCTTGGTTGCTTGGGCCCACTGACTAGCTGCCCTGGGTGAGAACACCTGTTCTAACCCAGGTGAATAAACTGGTTCTGTTTATCATTGGCTTTTGGCAGTACCCTCTACCATGGGTCCTGTCTCCATTCCCCAGGTGAGGGCCAGGCAGGGGTGGGGGGTAGTGGCCCAGAAGGTCCTGTGGTCACTTCTCTCTGGACTCTTGGTAGAGTGGGCAGCTTTGTGTGCATCCAGGCTACCATGACAGATGCCAGAGTGATTCTGACACCTTGTGGGACTAGGGGCTTCCAGCAGGTGGCCTTTAACTGTGGATGGTCCAGGCAGGGGTGCTTTCCAGCTGGGACAGGGAAGGTCRGCAGTCCCTGACAGGCCACAGGGGTCCAGGTCAGGGCCTGGTATAGGCCTGGGCCCAGAGTGGTCTGAACTATGAGCACAGCTCSTCTTCCACCTCTAGAGGCTGCAGGTGTGGGCTCTAGGCCCAGGTATCAACTGCCCATTACCAGCTGGGTGGCCCTGGCCAAGTTATTAACCTGCAAGTGACACTGACCTCAGGCCCAGGTTATGGGAGGATCTGAGGGGTCCTGTTGGTGAGCTGCAGCCTGCRTGTGTGGGGCCTGTGTGCTGGCTGGGCAGCCCTAGAGAGTTCCACATGTCTTTTTTACCCAAACTGGGGGCCTCCCTGGAACAAGGAAGGCCGGGAAGCTGCTCCCAGGCCCCCCACCCAGTCCAGAGCTGTGGCAGGATATCTTGCAGCCCCACCTTTGACTCTGGGCCTCGGAGGCTTTGAAGTCGCCCTTTGCCCAAAGCTTCCATTTATTGCAGGGGTGTGGAAGGGCCTGGGGGATCCCCCAGGCTGCTGTAGGGTGCTGCTGGCACCCCTTTCTGGCGGGAATGGTTGGGGCACAACCATTGGAGCTCTGGGAGTTAGGAGTGGCTGGTGGTGTCACAGGGCAGGTGTCTTCCTTATAACTATGGTGGCAGTATACACAGGCTCCTGGGGTATGCCTGTCTAGAAAGAAAGCAGGGTTGCAGGACCCCCCTTTACTGCAGGAGCAGCTCATCAGCTCCTCTGCAGTCAGCTGACTCTTGAGTCAGTGTTAARTCTGATGGGGTTGAGGGTTGTTGGTCCTATCAAAATCAGGCTCAGCTGGGGTCAGTAGTCCAATTGTGACTTAGGGCTACAGGGCTGARTGAAACAACGTTGTCCCAGAGATAGCAGGGAGCATATCATGGCCACCCTGGGAGAGCCACTGCATATCTGCCTTCTCCCAGGCAAGTGGCCTCCCCAACCATGGGACCTGAGCTTTCCCCATGACTCACCAGGATCCTGGGGAGGCCTGAGGCCACCGGGACCAGAGGTTGTATTGGGCTGGGGGTGCATCCACCCACATGAGCACGGGACTGGGGCTGGCCTGCAGCTAYGGAACTCCATGGTATCTCGGAACACTACCATTTCCCACTAGCGATTTCCCACGTGCAAGAGCCCTGAAATCTTTATCTGTAACCTTCTCCACACCAGGCACTAAGGAGGTGGAGTTGTGCCCTACAGAAACTCTGCCTCCACCTGGGATGTGATTCTATCTGGGATGAGTCAACAGAATGGTCTGGCTGGAGGGGAGCCCTGACCCGGAGGGTGCAGCATCATGACTATCCCCATGTGACYCCACCTGCCCYACCCCAGGTCCTGCCCCATGTAGTTTTGAAGCAAATCCCCAATTTGGAACATCCTCCCTGTGTGCCTCCAAAGGAAACCCCCCMCCMCCCCCCCCCCCCCCGCCCCAAAGAACAGTGGTTCTTTCATCTCAGATGCCCAGCCAATGGCACAGCCCCCTTCAATCGATTTGGGCCTCAGGATCCACCCCAGGTCCACTCAAGTTCACCGAGTGGGTCTCTTAAGCATCCTGTTTGTTGACAAAGCTTGGTTGTCCTTCACGTTCTGGRTATTTATCCAGTGCCCATCCTTTGCTTTCTGCAGATTGGGGTGGGGGTGGGGCACAGAAGCAGAGCTGTGATCAGCCTGGGGTTTGGTGGCATCATCGTGTCCTGTGACTGCAACCTGCCAGGAGACGAGGGTGACCCTATAACTTGCTATCCAAACTGGGACACTTTTGAGAGTGTGAAGGCTGCTGTTAATAGACAGCCAGGGTCCCTGGTCACCTTCTTCTCCAGTTAAAAAATTCCCCCCAAGCTGTCACTCACAGACCATCAAACACTGCAAGTTAAGTGCCCGCCCAAAGTCACAGAGCTTGGAAAATGGTGGGAACTGGGATTAAGACCCAGGGTTGCTCCATTCTGTCCTGATTGGTCGCCTTCCAGGAAGGGGGGTCCGGGCTGTGCTGGGGAGGACACCCCTAGCAGCTGAGCCTTTGGGATGGGCGTGCCTGGCCAGGGCCCCCGGGTGCGGGGCTGTGCTGTGCCGGGGGGCACCAGGGCTCTGCCAAGGCTCACGGCCCAGGCCTTGCCTCTGCCTTGAGCTCTGACTCCAGGCAGCCTGTGCTTGGATGAGCCAGGAGGGAGCGGCCAGGGCCACAGCTCTGGGAGCCCCGACCCGTGGGACAGGGATGGAATGGTGCCTTCAGCCTTTGGGTTCTCTTCTGAAGTGACCTTCCACAGAGTGAGACGGGCTGAGACCGATGGGGAGGACAGCGTGAGAGCTCCAGGGTACTTCGGGGGCCCTCTGTTGACTCTGGATCCCTAAGTTGTTCGCCCTCTCGGGGGGGCTTCTGCTGTGCCGTCCTCAGGATGTTTCTCTAAGCTCCACTCAGAAAGCGGCTTCGTCAGATGCRGGTGTGCCTCTAGGTCCTCCCCACGGGCTCCCTGGCTCCCGACAGGCTGYGGAGGAGGCCAGGGGAGAGCAGAGTGTGCTCCTCCGGGCCACTCACCCAGCCCTGTGCCCACCCGCTGGGCCCCTCCTCTGCATTAGGAACTTTGGATGTGTTGTGGGCCACACGGGCACCCTGCCTGCGGGGGCCTGCAGTCCAAGGGATGCTGATAATCAGTGAGTCAGTTGTGAGGCCAGGCCCCCGGAAACCCTGGACCTGGGGCAGCAGCAGTTGCTCTGAGTCTTCTGCACAAGGATGACCTCACAGGGCTACTGCCCGTCCTGTGAGGCGGGCAAGTGACGCGCTGGGTCCTCTCAGGCTGGGCAGACCAAGCCCTTGGTAGAGGCCTGGCACTCCTTGTTCCCGGGCAGCCCCCTCCCTGGCAGGCACCCCCGGAAGACCTCCCCACGCCCAGGATGTCCTGTGGAGGCARGGACTGCGCCTCTGGCTTTGGTTTCTGTAGGGCGGTCCTGGGACCCCGTGAGCCGGCTTTTGGAACCCCGAGTGCTCCAGGAAGCCCACCTCCGCACGGCCTCCTCTGCCCAGGACTGGCTGCGTAGTTCCGGGGGCCTAGGGCAAAATGAAAATGTGGCACCTGGTTACCGTTCGGATCTTACATGTTCCCCAAAAACCTTGTAGAAGACTCGGTCCCCAGCCTGCGGTCTGTTGGGAGGGGATGGGCCCTTTAGAAGGCGGGGCCTGGGCAGGAAGCTAGGTCAAGCCCTGCAAGCAGTAGTGGGACCCCTGTCCACCCCCCCCCCAGCTTTCTGGCTGCTGTGAAGTGAACAGCTTTCCTCCCAGGGGCACTTTGGCCATGGAGTGCKACCTCACAGGCCTGAAAGGCTGCAGAGCCCAGAGGCCATGGGTGGAAAACTCTGAAACCCTGAGCCTCCCTTAAAGTTGATTATATCAGGCATTTTATCACAGCACCGTGCACCCCTTATTCAAATAGTGGGGTGATAGGACAGTAAAATTGCTAAAATATAAAGCTTTTTCCTTTCTGCCTCTTAATGGAGGGTTTTAGACTCCCCAATGCTATGCTAAGAAGGGAAACATTAACAATTTAGTTGTAGTTGGCCCTCTGTGTCTGAGGATCCAACCACCATGTAAAAGTACTTTTTAAGAATCTTTAATCTGC